AAGATTTATAACACAGTTACAGTATAATATACATCTCTCTTTGCTAGGAAGAGTTAAATGCCAGGCTCCGCAAACGCGGTCCATCCTCTGTGCTCCTTAGCACCACTCAAGAATATAGAAAAAAGAAGTTCAAAACCTATATTATGCCTTGAATGGTGTCTAGCTACCTAGAAAATTTGAATACCTAGTCACATGAAGGTGCTGCAGTTACCATATACAGGTTGGCCTCCAAGTTATGACTAGGATTGGCAAGCTTGCTTTCCAAATATGGCTTGATATACAGCAAGCCGAAATGTATTCCTTCTTATACTTCCTCTGGATAACTGCTCAACTAATTAAATGGCCACTACACCGACGCAGACGTCTCATGGAGATTAGCCTTTCATCCGACCATCTAGTATTTGACCTTCTCTACCCTTCTAGGATTGCAGCAGATTACAGGTTGACTAGGCCTATGGCAGTTGCCTACATCTGCGGCAAGTAGGGAAGGGGACAACCGCTCTTCATAAGAAGCTTTGTATATATAGCTGCACCATTTAAGTATTTGAGTAGAATCCAGCACTGGTATAAGACAGGGGAAGGTGAGAGAAAGTGTTTGGATGTGTAGTAGTAGTTATTGAAGGAAGTTGTCGGATGTAATGGATTTGGAGTTTTTTATAGATATTGTTACCTAACCTTGTACAATGAGCCTATATTGTCAGAGGGGTGAGCGAGGAACTTTCATTGTTGTCATCAGCTCGTATTGCGGAAGTAACTAGAATTCCTGGTCTTCACGTATTATCCTACTAGATTTTCCAATCACCAGCATGACATCTGCAACTAACCTAGCTTATTGTTAGCTACATTGGCATTGGTTGCCATATCTTTTTGGATACAGTGGGGCACAACTCCTTGAATACTTTCAGATAATAATAGTTGTATACCGGTTTCTTAGATATATCTAGTTTAGCTATCAATAAGTAAACAATACCGGATTTGGTAATGATGACTATGTCGATCTTTTGAAGGGGGTAAACCATCCATCCTTTTTCTGTAAAACCATGAAAAAGAGAAAATTCTGAAGCCCACGTCTTAAGAGAAGTTACCACTTCTGCATATGGTCTTGAGAAAAGGAAGCCGACTGGCCAGGAGATTAATGTTATAGAAAGCAAGTTTTTATAAAAGAAAGAGAGATCTAGAAAGAAAACCTTTAGGAAGAAGGAAAAACCTAACTTTGGCAAGGAAGAGAAAAATGAAAGGGAAAGGATAAGCTTTATATAAAGAAGTTTATAGAAAAGAGGGATAAGAAATAGGAAAGGGGAAATAAAAGGATATGGGAAAGGGGAAGTGAAGGAGAGGGGAAGGGGAAGAGCGAAGAAAAAAGTAAACAACTCAAAAATTTTTTAAAAAGGAAATTTTCAAGTGCAGAAGGGGGAGTGGGAAAGAGTTTTTTTTTTTTATTTTCAAAAATTATATTATGATAAAAATTATTAAATAACATATAGTAAATAATTAAAAATCCTATTTAATTTAAAATTGTATCAATTAAATTGCTTTTTATAGCAATATCAATATATATGGATATAAATTAAATTATAATATTATTTATATTACTTTATTATTTATATTATTATTTATATTATTTATTATTTTTTATATTTAAATTCTAATACAAAAATAACTTAAATTAAATAATGCAAAAAATATTTTTTTAGTATTATTTTTTTTATACAATTATAATATTATTAATATTATTGAAATATTCAAGATTATATTAAATAAATAAAGAATTTATTAAATCATAAAATAGTTATAATTTTACATCAAAGATAATATTGATTTTAATATTTTAATTCTTGTACAACCAAGTTTAATTTTATTAACAAATTAATATTTAACTTATTGATATAATATTATTTGTTACTAGAGATTTTAATTACTTTTTGATGTATAAAATCTTTATATAGCTAATAAAGTAATAATGTTTACCTATTAAAATTAAGTAAAATAAAATATTTATAATTTTTATAATATAAAAACATGATTTTTTATAAAGATAATAAATATTAATTGTATATTGTATATCACGAAAAACATACGTGGGCTAAGTAATAACTGCAGTAAGTGACATTACGTATTGTATTATAATCATATATATCATATGCAAGGTTAGATACTTATTAACAATGTAATAATGCAGATGCAGAATATTTAATAAAAATTATAACATAAAAATTCGACTCAACATCAAAAATAATTAATGATAACATAACAGTTAAAGATTTAAAGAATTAAAAACTCAATTAACTTATGATATATCAGACTTTACACATCACGTTTCTGGAAATTGACAACCCTATGATATTTGGATATACTTGCGACGTCAGAAATCAACTTTTCAGAATTATGTTTTACAGTGCCTCATTCCATTTGCGTATTGTCATATTTATGATTAAAAAATATATGAATAAAAAGGTACTTTGGAAAACTGCACATTAACACATGTTACGTTCATGAAATTTTATGACTTCAATTAGTTCAAAATGTAACTCAATTACATTTCTATATTATTCAGAATGCATGTCACTTTCTATAAAAATTATTCTAGAATACTCATTATGAGTACATGGTCTACTATAATAAAGGATTATATATACCACATGATTTCTTACTATTGATCAGACATCAACACGTAAATAAAATTGCTAATGTAAAATCGTTAAATCAATACGCGTAAACAAGGTAAAAATCACTCACAAACACACGACGGCTAGCAGGGGTAGATTCTGTGAATCATTAAATGGGTTAATTTAAATGCAACTGCTACGCGATGGTATCAAATGAAAGAAAGATAGACCTACTCACCAGGAATAGTAATTATTCCGCTATAATCCGGATATTTATCAGGATCTAAAGCAATGTTGTTTGTCATGAGCAGATTAACGCCTGCCCGTTTAATAACGTTGAAGTGTTCTTCGTCCATTGTAGTCATCTATTGTTAATCACGAATTGAATTTCTAAAGACACGCTATGAAATGATGCAAACAAAACTGTAAATACTTAGTTACTTCAACGTCTTCGGGTGCTGTACTATCATCATAAAATCGATTCACAACCAAATCATGCTGAATCACAAGTTGCTTGAATGAACATTTACAACTTTCGAGAAATATCTTTAGACTTTCAGGAGTAAATAACCAGGGATTACGAAGAAACATATGGATTTCCATAGCTTCAAGTGTCTTTGGAACGCACAAAGCCATCTTCCGAAGGAAGTCATTTGCATCGAAGCCTTTCCCACAATCAAATGAAATACTTTTTAATTGACTGCAATTACTGAAGATTGATAAAATTTGTTCTTGCTCGAGACTTTCCAGGAACAATTTTCGAACGTTACGGCAGTAACGTGTGATCGACGTAATGGTATGCTCGGTGTGATCTTCTAACAAAATCTCCTCAAGATGATTACTGGCAGTCCTGAAAATTTCGGTGATGAATTCATCCGGATACTTTTCATCTATTTCCGGTGAAGCTTTGAAAACAAAATTTTTTAACAACGGAAATGACATGGACAAAGCTTTCGCCTGATCGGTTTCCAAACCCTCACATTGAATTAATTCTAAGATTTGCAAAGTACTACAGCTGGCGAGTCCCTCCAGTGAATTCTTGGGAACAAATCTAAAGTTTATATTCTTAAGCTCAAGCACGATAAGATTATATTTTTGAGATGCAACTGCCCCAAAAATGTGGACAAAGCAATCTCTTTCTTGCGACAGATTTCTTCCTGCAATCAATTTATCTGTAACTGTAGGTAAAGCTAACGAAAGATGTTCCAATTTGCGTTGTGTGCTAATAAGTTTCGCTAATGCCATTGCTTGCGAAGAATCCATGATATATGAGTGTATGCTAGAAAGATTCATGACAAACGTAGACATTGATTCAAACATTGACGTAATCTTTGATGAGTATTGATTGCTATACGAGAGGGTGGTTAACCTCTCCAAACTCTTTTTAGCTCCGGGAAATGTCGGTATAAGACTGATTTCATCGATTACAGAATAATAGATTCCCGTGGACTCTCCAATTTCGATCGTGCTTATATTGCAGTTAGCGATAAACAGTTTGCATAATTCTTTAAACATTAATCTCAATTGATTCATGTCTTTTTCATCCCTGCAATGTAGAAATTTTTTAAATCTTCATTTGATTGATACTTTTCTTTTAAAAAATTTTTTTCCAATAGCAAATAAAAATTACCTTTTCATGGGTTTTTGCCTGTTCGGAAAAAGATAAAAGTCGATACTTAACAGTAGGTTTGTGACCCCAAGTGTTCGTGGATACGACGCGTAATTGAACAATGTTCCAGCTGGTGATGTCGACAGGTCAATTGTATTTTTTTCCAGTAAGGTTCTTGATTCTTCGCCGATTGTTGATAGTAATGTCCGGAGATACAAAGTACTTTTCCACGTCCAACTAGGCGAATTCATGGGTATTAACCTTAAATCGTAGGGATTCGTAGAATTCATTAGATACTCCAATTTTTTTATAATAACATTGAATTATTCGCGTACCATAAAATTGGAATCGCGACTTCACACCATTCACGATTCACCTATAAAATGTTTGAATTCTTTAGGTATTATATATACTCGCATTATCGCATGTAAATAGTACGTTACCAGTGCACAAGGATGCAAGTCCTGTGGGAAATCTTCATCCAGGAGTTCCAGAAAAATTTCACGTAAAATCTCACGTGGAAGCCGAAAAGCCATCTTGAATCACCGAACTTGTATTAAGTTGTCGTGTGAATTAAAATACACATTTAACAATTATAATGCATACACATACGTTTTATTTTATGTAAAAAAGTTGACCAGGTATGCCGTGTTCCAAAGAAAATATTATTATTTCTGTAAATTAAAAGGATGGTAAAGAGACAACCGAACAAAAAAGTAATTTAGGCGCGTATTGATTGTATTTTTAAGGAGTATTATTAAAAATAACGTCACAAACCTTGATTTTATTTGTTCGCGTAGAAGACGAGTAATTTTTTTGTCGAGCCAAACGTGTTGTCGATTTTCATTTAAATATCGTCCCATTGCCCAATCGTAGCGCGTCGACAATAGATCAGTTGACGCCATGTGTATCGGTTCAAGCAAGCGAATTTTATATATACTATATGCACTTGACCTTTTCACGTGATTTTTATATTAAAATTCTACTTGATAGTAAAATATATATCATTATGCTGTAATATTAAATTAAAATGTACAAATAAAAAAATTTGTATTCAATTATTGCAAATTTATTATTATTATGGATAGACATATGTTTTGTTTAACTTTATTGAAATAATAATTTGAGATGCTATTGTATATACTGTATGTGTAAAAAATTATAAAAAAAGTTAATAACTTTTTAAATTATAAAATAAATTTATTAACACTAGTCAAAATTGATTTATTTGGCATAATATCACTTGTCAATTATTCATCAAAAAAGTATATAATTTGGTTAATCAATCAAATTTATATAACCTTTATCTTTGGCTATAAAGTGGCATATAATTTATTTAATACATAAATAATATACTTTTTTTAAAATCTCATTTAATATTTCAACAGTAAAATGAATAATTTATTTTTTTGCACAAATATATGTATATATATTGACTTTGCCAAATTATATTACTTTGATGAATTATATTGATTTGATGAATTATCTTATCTTATCAAATATATATTGCTAAATTATATTATTTTGTCAAATTATATTACCTTGTCTAATTTATATATATTTTTGCTGAATTATATTACCTTGCTGAATTTATATGTTTTGATGAAATTTTATATATTGTATTTATGGTTTAAAGGAATAATAGTTAAATATTTATAAGAATCTTGTCAATTTAAAATCTTATATTTAAATAAAATAAATTAGTTAAAAATATTATAAATAGAAATTATACATTTACATCTAATTGAATAAAATTTGATACTCTATAATTCAACATTCATATTATTTTCAAATTCAAAATAGAACCTGATATTTGCCAAATTAATAGGTTTAAACTATTAAATAAAAGCCAAATTGTGTTTTTCTATATTATTTGATAAGTTGATCAAATAAATAAGAAGAAATCGAACTTGTCCTAAGTATAAATCAATACTTTTATCATTATTCACAAATTGGACTAAAACAAATAAATCTTTTATATTTTGTAATAACATAATAAAATCAAAGATCTCACTTCCAATTTAGCATTTTTTATATTGATTGGTTCGATTTTGAACAATTATTGAATTTTTATAATATCTTCAATAAATAGCCTTCAAAAGTTTATGGTTTTATAAGAAGCTTTATAATATTTAACCAACAAATCCAAGATTTTGACAGATACAATTAAATTTAATTTTTTAGAATACAATAGTTTGTCAGAAAATTGTTTAAATCTATTAATAATTATTTCTTAAATATTATATATATTGTTTAAGAATTAGTATAGTTTGTCTACTAAAAATTAATTTGATATTTAATTGATTATTTAAAATTTCAAGTCCTATATTATTATAATAAGATGTGGTTAGATTTATAATTCAGTAGTTATTTATCAATCATCATATTAGTTTAGGTTTAATATTTTAACAACTATTAGACAATGATTTTAAATTTAAATTTTGTTAAAATATTATTTTATAAATATTAATTATAAAAAAACCTATCAATATTTATTATAAAAAAACCTACCTAACAAATCATTCATTTGTTTAAATAAAAAATATTAAAAAGCATATAATGGCTTATAATTATATGTATATTTATATAAATATAAAGAAAAATAAAAGTTTGATATAATTTTTTTTCATTATATTTTGCTTAATTAACTTAATTATTGTTATTAGTCTTTTATAAGCTTTATTTAATAATTCTCATTTTACAATTCAGCATACTGTTGGAGGTTATAACAACGAGTCTGTCGCTACGTCGCGATCGCCAATCATGTAACGTCGAAAGAGGCGTGGAGATGTGGCACGAGGTAAGTGAAAGTGTTAGATATTAGTCTGAGTTTATGA